AATCAACTCAATTGTAGCTACTCCATCCCAAACTATCTCTAGTCTACTCAAAGTTTTTGTGCTAACATATGATTACACTTCTCAAAAGCAAAAATATTACAAACTTAACATAATTGTTTCAACCCTAAACAATTAGAGAACTTTAATAACTTTGTCTTCAGGACCTGATTTTTTTGTTGAGTAGCTTGAATTCTTGAAAACACTTTCTTGTCGAAATTGTTATCCTCAAACGTAATATGCTTAATTTGTGCGATTAATGTTGACCTTGAACGACAGTAGTGGGTTTCTTTATATAGGTGTGAGGTTGTCTAAGATTCTTATTGAATTAATGTTCCAAAACCTAGAATATTTTAATTAAGGAAAACCTCTCCAATTTTGATTTGGTTTCCTTATTTGTTTCCAACTTTTCAACATTTTCCTTTAATGCAAGTATTTACATAAATCCTTTTTGAACACAAATTCCTATTTGCTTGTAGCACACGAACAAGTCTTCTTAAGAAATCCAACTTGCATACATTTTGTCTATTTCGTGTTCGATCAGCATTCTGCACTAGTCTGCTACGAACATGATTCTTTCATCATTAGCATATTATATCTACACACTTAGTCCAATAGCCTAGTATCCTGTCCGTGAAATCTAATTCTTTCAATGCAATTGATTCCGATTAGTTAATCATCTGTCATGATCTAAGTTCTTCCTTCGTGAACCGTCATGACGGCACCTAGTCTATACGACTAGGTAAGCCTAATATTTTGCGGAAAAGAAGCGAAAACATGAAAACTAACAATTTAACAAATAAATTTAATTAAGAAGTTTAGATGTCGCTCGGCATATACAATAAACACTCTCGAACTAAACATAGATGCTCCCAAAACCCGAAATATCATGTCACAAGCTACAGAAGTAAATAGTGCTTCTAAACTCCAAAAAAGTATCAACGAAGAAATGACAAGAAGTCTTTAACTTAAGGAAGAGTAGAGAGGGACTTCTAGGTCTGCGAACGCGACAGATATACCTCGAAGTCTCTAAGATCACCTTGCCTCACTGGAAATATGGCTGGGAAGAGGTACCTGGATCTGCACACAAAAAATATATGTAGGAAAGGGCATGAGTACACCACAGCGGTACCCAGTAAATGCCAAGACTAACCACGGTCGAGTAGTGACGAGATCAGGTCAGGGCCCTACTAGTATATATGTATAATAAGATAAAATAGTATGAAATATTATAGTAAGGATAAATACTAACAGTCAACAAAAATGAAATTTTCAGAAAAACAACTCAGTACATAGAGATAGTAACAAGGGATCTCCTGGGATACCATCTCGTAGTCCCAAACATAAATGTGCAGGGGATCTCCGGGATACTGTCCCGTAGTCCCAAACGTAAATGTGCAGGGGGATCTCCCGGAATACCGTTCCGTAGTCCCAAAGTAAATATTCAATACAGGGGGATCTCCCGGGATACCGTCCCGTAGTTCCAAACATAAATATATAGCTCAATCAATATAAACAACTATTTCAATAAGGAATTCTATAGTTTAGATTAAATTCATATAAAAAAGACAGGTAATTTTGCACTAAACATGTTGTACAGAGTTCAAGTAGGCAGTTAAGACCGTTAAGGCATGCTTTCCTAGGCTAAACAGGATAGTTACATATACTAGTATTGCTCAATTAAAGGAGAAACAGATATTTGCTTAATGAAAACGGGGTTTTTTTTAACAAATAGCCCGACTACGCACTCGTCACCTCACGTACACGACATTCATATATCAAACAGTACCAAAACCTAAGGGGAGTTCTCCCATACAAGTTTAGGTAAGCCACTTACCTCGAACCAAGCTCGAATCAATCCGAAATCGCGCTCTTGCCACGAGTATCCAACTCCGAGTGGCCCAAATCTAATCAGATCAATTATGTAACATAAATGTAGCTACAAGCAACTAATTTAGCTAATAAATTCAAAGCTAATGCAAGAAAATAGAAAAACGCCCAAAAATTCTCCTCGGGCCCACGTCTCGGAATAGGGTAAAAGTCACAAATTATGAACACTCCTTCACTCACGAGTTCACTCATACAAAAATCATCCAAAACCGACGCCTAATTCCCACTCAAACTTCAGATTTTTATTTGGGGAACTTTTCCCCTATTTTCCAAACTTCCACCCTCAAATTCTTTAATTAGATAGAAGAATACAACAATAGATTAATGTAATATGATCAAAATCGAGTTAGGATTAGTTAACCAATAGCTCTCCTTCAAAACCCCTCGAAAAATCGCCTTCCACTGAGCTCCAAATTGAATTTTGTGATATGAAATTTCAAACCCTCAAAATTTCCTTTTCTGCCTAGCGATTCCCGCTTCTGCGCTCCCAGGACCACACTTGCGGTCCCGCACCTGCAGAAGAACCATCGCAGGTATAAAATCCACTTAACTGGGTTGGGGCCGCATCTGCGAGCCCGCTCCTACAGTCCCCCAGTCGCACCTACGATCCCAGCTGACAAGGCCCAAATCCACATTCGAGGCTCCGCACCTGCGATCCAAAATGCGCAGGTACAAAAATACCAGGTGCAACAACTTCAACCATTTGCATAAGTCTCAAACCAATCTGTTAAGCACCCGAAACTCACCCGAGGCCCCCAGGACCTCAACCAAACATACCAACCTATCCTAAAATGCCATACGAACTGAGTCGAGCCCTCAAATCACATCAAACAACGCTAAAATCACGAATCACCCTCCAATCCAAATTTACTAAACTTGAAATTTCAAAATTCTACAACCGATGCCGAAATCGACCAAATCATGTGCGATTGCCCCAAATTTTGCACACAAGTCATATTAACACTACGAACCTACTCCAACTTCCGTAATCGGATTCTGACCCCAATATCAAAAATTTCACTATGGGCCTGAAACTCCAAAAATTCAACTTTCGCCATTTCAAGCCTAAATGAGCTACATACCTCAAAAACACAATCCAGACACGCCCCTAAGCCCAAAATCACCCAACAGAGCTAACAAAATCGACGAAATTCCATTCCGGAGCCATCTTCACACTGTTCCGACTATGAGTCCAAATTCTAAGACTTAAACTCTCATTTAGAGATTAAGTGTCCCAAAATACTTCGAAACTCAAAATGAATCATCCTGGCAAATCACAATAGCAGAAAAAGACATAGGGAAAGCAGTTAATAGGGGATCGGGGTATTAATTCTCAAAATGACTGGCTGGATCGTTACATTATCAAAACATACACGTGCTCAGCTCAACATTATTCAATTGCAATGAGAAACTACATCAGACAATAGCAAGAATTAATTTTACCTTAATAAACCTTAGTAAGGAGTTGTTCCACCATTGCTCGTGATCATAACTACTATAGCGAATGCACCTCTTATGGCCTTTAATTTTATAGTTGATGTTTACATAAACAGGCCATCAAACTTAGCCTCAGTTGGCAAATATGTCCCCTAATTTTGGGTGTGCACAAGTAGACACATCAACTTGTCTCCACTTTGTCAGTTGAACGCTCCAACTTACAAAATGATCATCTAGATACCTACAAATTTTATGTGCTACATCAGTGCCACATTAATATTTTGTGTTTACGTGGTCAACTTTATTCAAGTTGAGGTGCCTACTTGTGTGCACCCAAAATTAGAAGGCATACTTGCCAACTAAGGCCAAGTTTGAGGGCCTATTTATGTATTATGCCTAATGAATTTTATTAGAAATTTGTTAAGACTAGACAAAAAGCATTCGTGATTGATAAACTTAATTGGTTACTCCTATTTCTGCAACATCATATAACAAAGGGCAAAAATAGACCAATCTCAGATTCCGAAAGATCCTGCCTGACCAAAATTGGGAAAATTTCACATAACAACAATTCGTCTCCTTACTTTTTAATTTTATAGCCTATATTTCAATTTACAACAAACTAGCCTAAAAATAATAGGCTAATAATCAACAATCAACTCCAATAGATTCTCGAAATTGCTATTTAATTTTTAAAAAAGATTGCTCAAATTTTTAAGTTAACTTTCGAATCAGTAACTGTGACTCAAATATTAGTTCAACAAACCAAATCCACTTGGGTAGTGAAAATTAAATTTTTAACAAGCTTAAATATGTGGGTTTAAATTTCAAATTTGGTTTCGTGAGAATTTTGGAGTGGATATTATTTAAACTTGTTAGAAATAATATAAGGAGATTGTATATAAAATTTGAAGTCATTTAATGGAGATTTGGACTGGTTTTGAACGAGAATTGTAACTGAAAATCGTGGAAGAAGTTCGTCTACAAACGTTTGTATAAAGGTGTATAAAAGTGTATAATAGTGTATAAGATGTGTTTATACACTCATATACACTATTATACAAGATTACACAAAATTATACAAAAAAACTGACTTCGTCTTCTTCCTTGCGTTTTTTCTGAAATTTAACTCAAATCTTGCTTAAATCTACTCCAAATTACTTCAAATTTAAATCTTGAACTCGATATTTGCAATCAATTGGAACAACACCCAATCCAAACAGCTAACAAACTCAAAAAATCATATTTTCAAAAGCAAAGCTTTGAATGGCCTTCAATGATGTATTTTTACTTTTTAATTTTCTTACATTGCAACCAGGTGTCACAGGGGGAGAAGCAGAAAATATTCAGCCCCTTGAAGCATATGTAGAAGATTTGAGAAGAAGAGAGAGTGAAAATAATGGTTGTGAGAATACATATTTAACTCCATAGCTTTTAGAAGCAATAATTGTAAGAACAGATTTTGAATTTGTCAGTGCTTTTAAAATATGTACAATATGAGCTAAGTAGGATAAAACTTAAAAATATAGGTCATTTTTTATTATGACCCGAAGTCATGTGTATTTTCTTGTAATTTTTTTTTAATAAAACTGGACTATTGGAGGCCGATTACTTTAGACCCAAAAACGGTAGGCACACTTTTATTTAAGATCTCATTATTAAAGATGAAAATTGACATACTTCCAAATTTGTGGACTATATGAGTAGCTGACTGAAAACCTCCTCTAACAATTTAGGATTCTTCTATTCTATTTCTCAGTTTTTTCTTGAGGATCTCATCTTCCAAAATTTGAATTTAGAAACAAAGAATTTTCAGCAAGGGAAGAAGGTGGGATTGCGATTGTGATTTTGATTCATGGATGTGTATTCATGGTTCCGGCGAAGTCTATCTAGAACTACTACTACGACCACCACCACCGTTACTGCTCAACCTTACTTTAAGGAGGACGAACTACTCTACGGCGTCACTGACCAATTACTCGATTTTATCAAATCCTTCTCCATTGATACCTTTCGCAACTTCTCTCTCCCAGGTTCCTTCTTCTTTTTTCTATTTTTTTGGTTTTCCGTTCTTTTTAATGAAATTGGGTATTATATAAAGGATTGATATGGTCATAGTAGTTTAGAATTGATAAGTATTTATTGACATTTTCCTTATGTGGAGATTAACATATTTAGCTTACATGCCCTTGTATGTTATGTCTGAATATTGTAAAAGGTTTTGGTTGTTAGATGAGGAGGATGTTAACAACGACGGTGGTGGAGATAATGTACGGAAAGATCTATCTGATTGGCAACAACGTCATGCTTTGCTTGTTCTTTCCAAACTCAAGGTCTTTCCTTCTCTCCAACTCTTTTACTTTCTCTTCCCTTTAGGTTCTTACAAGCTGTGTTAAAGAAAGATATATTTTGAATGTTGTAATCCAGTTGCTTGTGATTGGATAATAAATTAGATGCATAGAAGATAAAAAAGGAAGCAGAGTACAGGTTCCAACAGGAAATAAGTCACAGATAACTCATACAGGAAATGCATCTAATCTCATGTGCAATGTTATCAAAGGCGCGGTTAAAGCGCGCTTAAGCCCTGAAGCGAGGCTCAAAACATGCTAAGCACTTCGCCTCGCTTAGCGTGCGCTTCAGGATTGTCAACAAGGCTCTAGGCATGTTTTTCCTTAACAATTAATATAATATGAAGAGGCGACACTAAACAATTGATATTTCACTTTATCGTAAATTTTCTTCAATTTCTTTGTCCATATATTTGGTATTTATACTTATAGATATTAGTCTTGGACTACACATACATATTTGTTGTTTTTCTCCATTTGTGCCTTTTTTCATTAAAGCCCATGTTTTATTTTGCGCTTTGCGCTTAAAGCCCAACTGACCTTAGAGCTTTTTTGCACATTTCGCTTTTGATAACACTGCTCATGAGTTAAAGTCCAGGTTTTTCCTTTGCTACGCCTCCTGTGGACTTGTAAAACTACATGTCGTATTACTTGTCTATATGTTTCATCCTTTGAGCTTGTTGAATTGACTCTCTTGGTTCAACTAACTTTTCGAATTCGTAATTACTGGTTGATATCAAGAGGCACTTATGCCTGACTATGTAAATATGCAATTCAATGTAAATACACACACATGCATACATTTACCTGCTAGTGCATTATTCTAGGTTCTAAGTGATTTGGAGGACTACCATATCAAAAAAAAAAAAAATCGTTTGGAGGACTAGAACCAAGAATTAAGTTGATGTGGACAAACTCCTTCTACAAACAAGCAGGGGCGGATGCACCTAGGACAAACTCATTAAATATGTGTAAATTATTGATATTTTAAAAAAAGTACTTGTACTTAATTTAAAAGGACACTACTTTTACCAACAATAAATATTTCCCTTAACTTAGTTCCATCGTAAGTTGTCTTACTATTTTTTTTCTATCATTTTTTTCTTGGGCGATGAAGTTGGTCAAAACCATTTGCAAAGTCAAATAATCATAAGACTTTTAAGTGATTATTTAGTGTTTTATATAAAAAAAGTATTATGTATTATTTCTGATAAGGATATTATGAATACATTCCAAATTATAAAAGCTTGTCGAGGAGAGTTGTAGTAATATACTAGGATTTGTTTTTTCTTTAATTGGATTCAAATTTTGTTCTTTTAATTTGTATTGTTATAGTGATTTATTTAATTGTTTACTTCTTTAATGCCGACACCACTTAAGAAAAATCCTGCGTACGCCCTTGCAAACAAGAGTAAAAATAATAAACATAGTTAGTGAAAGGCTTCTGAGGCCCCAGTCCGTCCTGCCTAGAGGGAAATAATCGAACTTTTGTCATCAGTTACTTCCCCCATTTTATAAATATATATATATATATATATATATATATATATATATATATGACAATATTTGACTAGAAATAGTGTTAAAAGGAAATGAAGACTTTTGGTAATTGGTACATTAACTAAAGGTAAAACCTCATCGGGTGTTTACACCAAACTCTACAAATTTACCATGGTTAAGTGATTTTAATATGTGAAACATGTATTAACTAACCATGATTGAGTGAGATGAGTCTATTTACAAACACATGTCATACACCTATTGATTTGGCATAAAGACCCCCGGTGCAGGTAAGTTGTTACCCTAACTGAATGTATTCAACACACCAAAGTACTCCTAGTATCATGTTGGGCTCCTAACATGTCATGCCAACACCTATAAGTACATCATTAAGAGTAAAATGACAATGTTAAAAAGAAACATAAAAATGTGTCGATCTTTTTGGAACCGACCAAAAAGGAAGATCAGCACGTGAAAGGGAAATAAAAGAGTATTCAGTTATGAAAATTGTTTACTTTTGTTTGTTACCTTATTAAAAAAAATGGTTTAGTTTTTATAGTGTAGCATGAGACAATACAAAGAACCTTGACCTGGTATCAGTTTATTTTGCTTGCTACAGTGACTGGACTAAATATCTCATGCCGGGTTTTTACACTTGCATTATGTCAATTTTCTTTGGGATCTAGAAATTTACTAGGTAGTGGATGCAGACTACAAATAATTTTAGTAGGTCAAAAGCCCCAATTTTCCAAGTGAAAGGGTTAGGTGTATGAGGAGTTCTCTCTTTCTATGGTTTTGGACAATATTAATCAGTTGAGATAGCTTTTGAAGTTACATTAGGCCTGATGTCCATTTCTTAACGTGATGTCAGACCAGACCTGTACCTGATGTGGGGATACCCAATGTTAGGCCAGCTATGTTACGTCATTACACCCTTCAGATGTCCATTCCTGAGTGTGCCAAGGGGTATTAGACTCTCACTTTGGTTAAGTTTATAGGTATAGTCTCTTTACGTGGTTTTAGGCATTCCTCACCACCCGAGTTAAGTTTTGGGGTTGAGTTAAGCCCAATGTCCAGCTCTTAACACCGAGCATGTATTTTGGCCTTATCACACCTTCTTTCTTAGATCGGTTGATGTAGTCGGGATTTTCAGTCATCTCCCCAGAAGATCCTAACACCAATCTACTAGGCTAGCAGCATTTCACAACTTGATAAACTAGTGACATGTGAAGTTGACAACTATGTGTTCACATTAAGAACCAACGTATGAAGAAAAAGAAGATTAGTAACTTTTTTTCTGTCTTTTTGTCGCGTAGTACTGGTGATCCTGCAGTCCTTCCCCTAAGCAGTATCCTGTGTGGAGTCTGATTATTATATGCCTGTTCATATTGGTTGATGGCTATATCTGAGAGACATGTGTTAGTTTCATCAGCTCGCATCCATTCTTTTCCTACTTCCTGTTACACACCAGTACATTAATTCTTCTCTGGGTAGATTAGTTTTCTACTGTGAGCTTACTTTTGGTTCATGCATTTTCAGAAGATAAAAAGATATTATTTCTGTGGATTTGACTATATTGGGTTTAGAGACCTGCACCATCTTTATCAGTGGCATTTAGTTGTGGCCGCTTCTCTGTTAATTTGGTTTCATAAATTTATTTCGTGATTGCTTCCTTCAGGAACTCTCACAACTGAGGTTCAAATTATGTCCACGTTATTTGAAGGAGCACCAGTTTTGGACGATATATTTTGGACTTGTTAAGGGTTATATTGCCAAGTAAGTTCCGTGTACTAACTTATCTAATGCTGTTGTGCTTGTGCTTCTTACCCAGAGAAGATAAAGTTCAATTAATTTTGCTGATCAGATATGAGCTACGAGCTATACAATTAGATACGCTCAAACAGATAAGAAAGGAAAATGAAAATGCACCAGATGTTTCTGCATGCGAAGTTGAGATGTCTGAAGCAAAGCAAACAACAGATGTATCACCTACAACTTCTGAGGAGCACAATTAGTATCTCCCTTGGATATATCATTAGTTATCAGGTATGCATTCATTTCTCCGGTCCTGAATCAACCTATTTGTTAAGCAAGCAAGTTCATGCTCAAATTTTATGCAGCAAAAACCTTCATGTTTTTCTCAATTCCACCTTAAAACCATCAGTGCAAGAAAAGTGCCCCATCAATGAGCAACTGTCAAGTGTGCCTTCCTGTTCCTGGCATGTGTATTGAAGGCAATGTAAAGAAACTAAAACAGAATATCTGAACATTCTGATTTATGTTAATAAAAAACTGGAAGTCAAGCAAAATTATAGATGAAAATGGAAAATGAAACTGATTGTTGAAATTGGAAATGCATGGACATCGAGAAAAGGGAGAAACTATTTCAAATACTGACGTGTCACTTGATCGCTTTTGATGTACCTGTGTTACTGGAATTGATTATCTGGTATTAATCTGCTACTAAATCAAGCTGTTTGTTATTAAATCCATTGAGCAAGTTCATGCAGAGATTTGATTAAAAAGCACCACTGCCATTCATTTATCTTAACTTCACCATATAGCCTATTTAATGCAACTGAGCAATGCCCGCATAAGAGCAGTTCTTAAGTGTGCACGTGTCTCTGGCACGAGTATGCAAGGCAATGTGGGAAATATAGTTGAAAAATGGTGAATGAAATAGAAATGTTGTAATTTGCAAAGGCAGATATTCAAGAATGGGAAGCAAGTTTGCTCGTGTCCCTAGCATGAGTATCTAAGGCAATGTAGGGAAAATAGTTGAAAAATGGAAAGTGAAACAGAATATCTGAGATTATCAAGGCAAAAAAGGGTAGTTCGGTGCACTGAGCACCCGCTATGCGCGCGTGGGGAGGGGAAGAAGGGCTGGAGGTCTGGCAGCCTTACCTTGCATTTTTACAAGAGACTGTTTCCACGGCTTGACTCGTGACCTCCTAGTCACACTGCGGCAACTTTTACCATTGCGCCAAAGCTTCCCTTAAAAAAGGGGAGGATATTCAAAAATGGGAAGTAAGTGAGCTCATGTCCCTGGCATGAGTATTTAAGGCAATGTAGGGTATATAGTGGAAAATGGAAATAAAATTTCTGAAACATGTGATTGAATATTCGAAAAAGGAAGCTGCTAGCAGAGGTGATAATGAAAAAAAGTCTAGTTGTAATTTAAAATCTATGGACACCGTGAAAGATACAACAACAACAACATACCCAGTAAAATCCCATTAGTGGGGTCTGGGGAGGGTAGGATGTACGCAGACCTTACCTCTACCCTGGAAGGGTAGAGAGGCTGTTTTCGGGAGACCCTCGGCAACAGAAGAGGTAATAATTTCAGAAAAGAAACGAAAGAAGAGATTTGTAACAATAAAAGAAGCAAGAGAAGTAATAATAATATCTTAAAATATACCAAATAAGTGAAGGGAGTGCAATAATACAATCATATGCAAAACAATAAAATAGTGTGAACACAACATAGACCGCTACCAGACATAGGCAAAACTCTATCAGACTACCCGGTACAAAAAGGGAAAAACTATGAACTATCCCCTAGCCTACAACCCTAATGCTCGACCTCCGCACGTTCCTATCAAGAGTCATGTCCTCGGAAATCTGGAGTCGCGCCATGTCTTGCCTGATCACCTCGCCCCAATTCTTCTTAGGTCGCCCTCTACCTCTTCTCGTACTTGGCAAAGCCAACCGTTCGCACCTCCTAATCGGGGAATCTATGGTTCTCCTCCGCACGTGTCCAAACCACCTAAGCCTCGCTTCCCGCATCTTGTCGTCCACTGGAGCAACGCCCATCTTTTCCCGAATATCTTCATTCCTTATCTTATCCAGTTTAGTATGCCCGCACATCCATTTCAATATCCTCATCTCGGCTACCTTCATCTTCTAGATATGTGAATTCTTAACTGGCCAACACTCAGCCTCATATAACATAGCCGGCCTAACCACCGCTCTGTAGAACTTACCTTTGAGTTTCGGTGGTACCCTTTTGTCACACAGGACTCCAGATGCTAACCGTCATTTCATCCACCCCACCCCAATGCGGTGCGTGACATCCCCGTCAATCTCCCCATCTCCCTAGATAATAGACCCTAGGTACTTGAAATTCTCTCTCTTGGGGATGACTTGTGAGTCGAGCCTCACCACCCCATCCGCTTCCTCCGACACGCCGCTGAACTTACACTCCAGATATTCCGTCTTGGTCCTACTCAACTTGAAACCTTTGGACTCCAGAGCCTGCCTCCACACCTCCAGTCTCTCATTAAAACTGCTACGCGACTCATCGATCAGAACTATATCATCAACGAACAACATACACCATGGCACCTCCCCTTGAATATGATGTGTCAAGGCATCCATCGTCAGAGCAAATAAGAATGGGCTAAGCGCCGATCCTTGGTGTAACCCCATAATCACCGGAAAAAGCTCGGAGTCACTGCTCTGTCATGCATATCCTTTATCGATTCAATGTATGCTACCGGCACCCCTTTCACTTCCAAGCATCACCAAAGAACGTCCCTAGGGACCCTGTCATATGCCTTTTCTAGATCAATAAACACCATGTGCAAATCCCTCTTCCTCTCCCTGTGTTGTTCCACCAGCCTCCTTATAAGGTGAATAGCTTCCGTAATAGAACGTCCCGACATGAACCCGAACTGATTTTCAGAAATAGATACCGCCCTCCGCACCCTCCCTTCCACCACCCTCTCCTAAACTTTCATGGTATGACTTAACAACTTGATGCCCCTATAATCGTTACAATTCTGGATATCACCTTTATTCTTACACAACGGAATCATCAAACTACATCTCCACTCATCTGACATCCTCTTCGTCTTGAAAATAACATTAAACAACCCAGTCAACCATTCTAAGCCCGCTCTACCCACATACCTCCAAAATTCTACTGGAATCTCGTCTTGTCCTGTCGCTTTGCCCCGACTCATCTTACCCACAGCTCCCACTACCTCCTCAACCTTGATACGATGAGAAGATATTTTTACAATGTGATTTCTTAATTAAGTTTTTTTACTGTGTCGCTGATTCTGACTGCAATTGCCTGATGCCATTTGCTTTTGGATTGCCAAGATTTTCTTCTCCTTCAACCTGTCAGGTTAGATGATATTTCTTCATATAAATTGACACAAATATCAGTTGGAGTAAGGGAAGTGTTCCGCAGTGACCTTTAGATTATAGTGGACATGTGAAAGGTGGCTGAAGCAGTGCCATGTATACCTATTGTACAGCGACATCTTAATTCTCAAATTGTCATGTACAAGAGTGAGAGATAGAAGAAACCACTGGCCCGATATGCCACGAGAGGCAGAATCCGATGTTCATTAAGATTTGTAGAAAGGATGTGAAAATTTGCCATGGATGGGGTTGGTTTGTTGTTTATGAGCCCTTTTTGCTTAACTGATTGAAATTAAGGGATAAGCACAATTCCTAAAGTTGATTTTGTAAATAAGTTGTTACATGTTTGGATAGGGAGTGCTAAAACTGATACAACGTTATTGATGTATTTGTAAAAATGTTGATAAGCACTTTTACATTTGGATACCTTTAAAGTTGTCAGAAATATAAATGTAAAAGTATGTTTACATGGAGAAAGGCAAACGAGATACATGGAATGGAGAGTGGGTTAGGTGTTTTGTTCTGGAAGGGCATTTCAGGAATTACTAAATTATTAGAGATAAAATTATAGAACTTTTGGTTTCTCAGAAATATATATNCACGAGATACCTACCTCCTTCCACCAGCAACAGGTATCGGGTAACTTAAGCCTTGGATAGATGGGAAGAATTCACCCAGTATTTTTTGCCTTGACTGAAATTTGAACCTGAGACCTCATGGTTCTCACCCACTTTATTAACCACTAGGCCACACATTTGGGTGCAAAAAATAATAAAACTTTTGAACAAATCAAAAGTGCTTATAATCTGAAAAGCATAAGTTGGGTGTAACCAACTTATGGCTTTTTATTTATTTTGTCTTATAAACACTTGGTTATAACTTATAAGCACTTTTGGTATTCATCAAATGCATAAATAAGCAGAAAGTACTTATGAGTTATCCTAACACCCTGGATATACATGGCTTTTGCCGTTACCAACGGTTCCTCTTTTGGCTCTGAAGTTAGTATTTATAAGGGAGACAACTAAATGCCCAATGTTGAGGTATACACATCCAGTGTTGTCAAAGGCTCATTTAAGGTGCGCTTAAGCCCTGAAGCTCAGAAAAGCTGAAGGAGGGCGCTTCACCTCGCTTAAGTTGTGCTTTAGTGTAGGCAAGTCACTAAGGCGTGCACCTCAATGCCCATGAGTTCTATCTTGAACTAAGCGGTACTAAACAACAAATATTTTCAGCAAATAAGTGTATTAGTTGCTGAAGAAAACATTAGGAGTGAGTTTGTTTCTTTTTTCTTGAAGTACATATGTATTTTTATTTTCTTCCTTAGTTGCGCCTTCTTTACAAAAGGCCGCACTTTAGTTGGATTTAACACTTAAAGCCCCAGTCGACCTGGAGCGCTTTTTAGAGCTTTTAGCTTTTCATAACATTGCACACATCTTCATTGAAAACCTATAATAGATAATTATGTTATGTTATCCATCAAAATTAGATGGATAACTATTAGTTCTTAATCTTTTCGTTGTTCGAAATAGTATCAATAAGATGGTTTACACCTTAACAAGAAAAAAAAAATCAATCGGTCTCTATATATCCTCCTGATATACTGCTGGCATGTGCTCGTAATGATATGTATATTAGGGTCTTGAGCGCAGAAGATCTAAGTTCCGAATTATCTATGCACTTGTTCGGAGTTAATCATTTCATAACCCTGGTGGCAAGTAAGGGAAACGGCCATTTTATTAAACCTGATCATGCTGCTATCAGCATGAGATATGTGGGGAAAGCCACATTGTTTTACCTGAATGTGTGTGTGAGAGAGAGACGGTTGAGGGATACTGAGGGTAGTACAAAAAGTTGCATGTCATTTTGCTAAAGTAAGTATTTAATCAAATGGTAAAACATGAATCTCCTCCTTGACACTATTCCTGATAACCTGGCAAGAAGATATTGTACTCTGAACTGGAATATAGCATCTCTAATAATCCTGTCCTATTCTTGGAGCAAGAAGACACTTAGAACTGAGCAGCATGCTGCTTGTATAATCTACTGCTAATTTTTTGAAGACAACCTTCTCCCGTTCCAGCCACACTAGAGCATATCAAATGGGCATTAGAAGATTCTAAGCCACTATTGAGCTTAGTATATTAAGAACCATCAAATGAGAAGTTGATTGATCCAGTGCGGATTTACATATATATACAAATGCACCTCATCATACTTATTAGAAATATTTACATTTGATATTCCTCAAGCACTTTGTTGAGTTTCGGCAAGCTAGAGTTTAACAAGATACTTGTGAAGATATGTCTGTACAGGGTCAAGCCACCTTTTAAAGTTGACCACCCGAAATATTACGAAAAATTACACTGCGTATATAAGTAAAATATTGATTTTATATGTATAAAATACATATTGAACACCCTTTGTCAAGAATTATTTTTTAGTTCTTTCAATTTTGAACACCCTTGGAAACATTTCTGGCTTCGCCATTGTGTCCGTAGAACAACAAATTGAGTGTTGTTGTATCGGGTTTCTCCAGAACTCAAAGGAGCATTTATCATTTATTATCTCTTCATTTATTTGAACTCCGAACTTTTACCAAACGACATGGCTTTTGTTGTCTTTTATTATTTAGATGTTATGGTACTCTTATGTCCTTGGCAGATGCTACTGACTGCTGACTGCTGACAATCTGTGCAAGTTATTATAGATCTGTAAATGCTCAGAAGATCAGACTTTTTATTGAGTAGATCTTAGGATTAATTTAGGTTGGTTAAATTACATTTTTTGCTTCTTATGTTGGTTAACTGTAAGTTATATTAATGTAACTGCTTGGAGAGCTTTTGTTCCTGGCTGACCTCAATTTATTCATGGTACTAGCTTGATGATGTCAAATATTATGAGATTGCACATCAAATGTCTCTCTGTCCTTGCTATGTTGTTGAATTCGCATCTTTTGTAAAGTATTTCTTTTCGAGATTGTTGGGTTAATCCACTGAAGAAATGATTTTCTTTCGTGTGTCTAACACAAGATTACCAATTGATTTGAATAGTTGATTTGTCTGAAAATTACAAATTATGCGTGACATCGGCTGTTTTCATGTATCAAACTCGCCGAAGAGAAAATTTTGAGGAAAACAAAGTTTTGTTCTTGTTTATTCTCAGACTCGTTTCATGTTAAAATACAGTTGAACAAACAACGATCCGTTAGAGAACAAATGGTTGAGCATTTTTAGGCAATTTTCCTTAAAAAGATTTACATAACTTTTTTTTTTTTTTTGTGGTAATTAAACTTTGTATTACCAGGGAAAATATTTACAAGTAAGTCAAAAAATCCTTACAAGATAACCTTCTTTCCTATACTTCACCCCCTCCCCATATGTTGTTATATCCACTTATATCTGACTATTACACTGGATACCAATCTAGTCTATGTAGTATCCCCGCTGTATGTTTGGTACTTCGACAATGTATCTCCAAGAGATTTTCTTACTCATTGCTTCCCAACCTGTCACCTTTGCTTGAAAAATTCTAGTATTCCTTTCTTTCCATACATGGTATACTGTTGCTGCTACTGCTATTTTATACAACTCTGCAGCAGCTGTATTTCTTTTAGTCTTCTTTTCAGCCCATGGTAATTCCTCATCCCAACCAGCTACAGGTCTTCTAATTCCTTGCCATGTTTAACAGTGCGCTCCACAATGCTTTCGCATATGTGCATTCAAAAAACAAGTGTTGTATAGTTTCATTGGCTTGGTTGCACAATACACACTTCTGATCTACCTGCAATTTTTGTGTATAGCTTCCCATGAGCTGCCACAGTTAGAATAAATGTCCATCGTGGGCATCCTGTATTATGGCAGACTATCCTTCTCCAACTAACTTTTTCAAATCTTCCACGCAACCTGTGATATATGTTTTTGATTGAGCAGCTTTGCATATTTAGGATGTCTTCATAGCTGAGTCCTGCATCCATGAATGACTCCTTTGCTTTTAAGATCTTATTCACTATCCACGATGCTTGTTTTAGTTGAACATCCCATATGTATCTTCCTTTGATGTAGTAGCTATGTATCTACTGGATCCACAGTTTCTTTTTCTCCTTGCACAAATTCCAGAATTGCTTACAGATGGCAGCCTTNATGGTTATAACCTTGGAGATCACTTTGTATAGAACTGTGCAACATGAGATATACCTATATTCTTTAATACTCACAGGGTTTCTAACTTTAGGCACTAAAGTTATTGTTGTGCAGTTGATAGGTTTATGCATATGTGTTGTTTCAAAGAATTCCAACACTGCCATTGTTATATCCTCACCTACAATCTGCCAAGTCTTCTTGAAAATAAGGCATTAAACCCATCATAACTAGGTGCTTTAAGGTCACTAATACCCTTCATGGCTTCCCACACTTCCTCCTTGGAGACTGGCTTTATTAGCTGAACCTGTTGGTCTCTATTTAATGTTGTTCCCTGCTTCATGGTATTTGGATTGATGGCTGATATGCTGTCAGCTCTTGATCCAAGCAATTTTTTATAGTATCCTAGTATCTCTGCTTCTATATCTTCCTCCATCATGAGCTGAGTTCCCACCTCATTTGTTAAGCTTTGGATTTCATTCAAGTGATTCCTGTTCTTCATTTGTGCATAGAAGTAGGCTTAATTAGAATCTCCCAACTTCAACCATTGCACTCTTGACTTTTGCATGTATATGTTTTCTTCTATCTTTCCCCATTTTTCTAATTCACCCTTCAGTTCTTTTTCTTTGTCAATTAGCTCCTTATTCTGCAGCTTTCAGCTCATTTCCTCTTGTATTCCCTGCAGCTCCCTCCTTATCTCTTTGATCTTTCCATCGACCCCTTTGTAATGCTGAGTATTTAGGCTCTTGATAGCTTCTTTTACCCCTTTAAGATTGTTCCATACTGTCTGCATTCTACCATTTGTGCTCCTATCCTTCCAAGCTTCTTCAATGTGTTGCATGAACTGAGGGTGGTCAGCAATACAGTTAAAGAACTTGAATGGCCTATTCTTCTTTCCTTGTGCCTGACAGATTTCTAGCTTCAGTGGTGAGTGATCAGATACCATTGGTTCCAGCACCTGAACTTTCACATTTGGCATTGTCATCATCCAAGTAGTATTTACAAGTCCCCTGTCAATTCTGCTATAGGTATGATTATTAGTCCAGGTGTAGTTCCTCCCCACATACTGCAGCTCATTCATTCCTGTATCCCTCATATACTNACAAAGCCACGTTAAAGTGCGCCGAGAGAGAATGTTGCTTGCGTATATGAGAGTATATTGTTGTTAATTGCATTGTTTTACATAACTTTTAACAATAAGTATTGTGTACAGACTACAGTGGATGAACTTCGATTATCAACTTAGAAAAATAATCTAACATTATAAGAAGGATTTCCTACTTTTTTTTT